GTGAAAGAAGTCAGGAATTAAAAGTCACGTGTTGTATGATTGCATTTATATAAACCATCTGAAATAGGTGAATCCACAGAGACGGAAAGCAGATTGCTGGTTACAGGGGCGTGGGGAGACAGCGAAATGGTGATTGACTGCTTAATGGATACATGATTTTCTCTGGGGCTGAAGAAAATATTTTGGAACCAGAGAGAGTTGGTGGTTGTAAAATATTGTGAATACTACATAAGAATGAATTGTGCATTTAATTTTATGGTATATGAATTTAATTTCAATAAAAAAGATATAACTGAAAAGGTAGATACCCCGATCATTTAGCATTTAGAAGTCTACACTAACAGAAAAAGCAAAGCAAATAGCCTACGTAGTAAGCAACCTCTTCAAAACTATAAAATAGAAACTCTTTTGTTAACGTGAAAAACAATACACGGTATAGCACAATATCATGAACGAAAGCCAAATACATTTCTGAAATAAGTAAACCTAAATTGATTTATATCACCCAATAAATGAAAATTATTTTAAGATGAGATAAGAAAACAAAGAGCAACTCTGTTTTGCATACATGGGAAACACAGAAAAATTATTTCAGAGAAGTTAAAAGTAAAATTTTGGGCAAAGTCATGCTAGGGAAATGCAATCCAAAAATAAAAAGAAAACATTTTAACCTTAATATTGAAAAGACATATCATGGAATTCAAGGTTTTTATACACAAAAAGAACCAGCTGGAAAATATAAAGAAAGAAAATGTTTCTATTTATCATAGCATTTGAAAAGGTAGAATACCTTGTAATGATATTAATAAGAAATACACATGAACTTCTTGAAGAAAATTTCAAAACATATTAAAAGAAACAAAAGGAGACTAAACAAATATAAATATATATCATGTTCTTGGATTGGATTTGATTTGTACATCATGAGGGTATTTTTCTTAATTTATAAATATGAAATCCAAAAAAAAAAAAAAAACCCAGCAGGCATTTTTCTTTTTCCTTTTAACTAGGTAAATTACCTAGCTGATTTTATAGTTCCTATATTTAATTTAAAAAACGGAAAAATTCTAGAAGTGAAAAGAAAAAAATGAGCGAATTAAATTTACCAGAAAATAAAACAAAGCCTTAGGAACCAAAATGCCATTTTATTGGGGTGCATAAACAGACATTCAGTCAACATGATATAACAGAAAAGTATTTTAAAAGTGAAAAAAACATAGACTAAACACGGGAATTTAATAAAAGTTAAAGTTAATATCTTCAAGCAGTATGGAAAAGATGGACGATTAAAAAATCTTGTGATGCCCTCACGGGGGAAAATTAAGTTGGTTGCATACCTCACATCTTATACTAGGATAAATTGCAAATAGATACATTATTTAAAGGTAGAAAATAACTATAAAGGTTTCAGAAGGAACGTGAGATCTTTCCTTAACACGTTTAAATGTAAAAGGCCTTTCTAATCACAACCCCAAATCCAGAATCCTTTAAAAGAACGGATAAATTTGACAGAAAAAAACTTTATGCAGAATTAAGACAAATGACAGCATGGGAGGAAATGCTTGCAATTTGTAATATAAAGAATTAATCTGCTTGAGATATAAGGAGCTCACAGAAATCAAATTAAAAATGACCAAAGTCCAATGAAAAAAATGGAAAAAAAAATATGAACAGATGGCTCACAAAAAATAAAAATAGAAATGAAAAATTGGAAGAATGTAAAGACAGAAATACAAATGGTTCTTAAAACATATAAAATAATGGCTTAAAGAAAGCTAAGAGATGCTATTTTTCACCTGATGTTCTTTTGCTGCCAGCGATAGAATCACATTTTATAATCCCTATAGGACCACTTAGCAATAACTGTCAAAATTCAAAGTCTGTCCCACACATAGGCTGACATATGAGAAGTTACGGATGCACACAATTATTTTTTGCAGCACCTGCATTGCAAAAGATGGACACCAAGAAGTCTATTGGTAGGAGAATGATTAAATACATTAAATTCATACAATGGAATACTATGCATTTTTTTTAATATGAGCAACTCTGTACACAGGCAACAAAATATCTGCAATATACATTGTTAAGTAAAGAATGCAGGTTATAATCTCATTTTCAAATCATACGTATTGCAAATATGGTTTTTAAGTGTTTACTATAGGAAAGGAGGAAAGCAGAACTACATTTGCATTTGTTTGTGTTAACATAGAGAGAGTCTGAAGTCTACATAGGAAACTAAAAGTGAGGTGAGTGTGGGCAGGAACAGATGGGAAAAAGAGCAATCCACACTCTTTGTGCTTTTTTATTTTTTGCAACATGTGAATGCATTACCTATTCAAAATTTAGATTAAAATTCAAAAAAACAAATGAACAGAAAAGACATGAGACTACATTCTGATAAACCCCTCTTGTCTTCTTCTGTTTTGTGAAGTTTACCTCTGCCCTCACTGTCTGGACAAAAGTATGGGGGAGAGCAAGCATAGGAACTCAAAATAACAGATGGACGTAGCCCTGCTCCTTTGAACTTCCATATCCCCGGAATACATAACATGATTTCATCTCACGACCTGATGTTATGTATAATACAATAGGATAATATATAGAATATGCTAATAATATTATAATATATAATATGCTAATAATAATACATTGTTTCCCCAGAAGATAATAATATATTAATTTTATGATACATAATTATTATAATACATTATATATTATATAATGTATAATTATATATTATATGCTAATAATACTAATAATATATTATTATCTATTCCCAGAAGACTTCTTATTTTACTGTGCAAGTAAAATGCTTCATTGAGTACAACCTTTTTTAACAAAATGCAACCTGCCTCTATCTCCCTGCTAAATGTCCATGCACACTAACATTTATATACTGGTCAAGGGTTTGCTGACATCAGAAGGGCAACCTCTTCATCCTAAAGGTTGGAGCACTGCAAGCAAGCATCCCAGGTAAGCATCCCAGTTCAGCACCCCTGGATCTGTGGGAAGAGGTCACCACTCCAGGAAGACCACAGCATACTGTCCAATTCACAAGCACATTGGAGTATAGCAGCTGCATCATTTGGTGCAATTTATAGCATTTTGGGGGGTAGGGGAAAATGTGTAAAGTAAACCTTTTCCAAGGAACTTTTTAAAACTGTAACTTTGGCCCTTAAGATCTCCTGGCTTTCTTTTCCTTCTTAGGAAACAGTGTGCTGCTTATTAAAAGTTGCAAACATGATTTGGGAAAATGTTGAGCAATAAATAATAGATTTACAAGTAGTTTAGTACTTGTGTTGTATCTAGGACAATTAAAGTCACACAGAAAAAAACACAGATGAAAAGAGCATGCCTGGGAATCATTACCAGGGCCAACTCACATTCATTATCTGTGCTTGTTTTGTTTTGCCCATTCCTCATTGCCTAGCTTAACCTCCAGATACTCCTGAACTTGTAGTTGGTTCACAACACAAAACTTCCTCCTGCCCCTGCCTGCTTTGCTGCCCTCCACAGCATTTCATCTCATCTATATTTTACTTGTTCATTTGAGGGCTGTTGGGTCTTTTGTTTGTTTTCTCCTCATCAAGAGGTAAGCTCTTTCAAAGTAGAAAACCACATATATGGACTTGCGATGGTTTGGCTTAGACTTTTCAACTTTACAAAGGTATGAAAGCCACATACATTCAGGAGAAATCATACTTCAGTCCGGTATTCAAAACATAATATGAGTTACTCAATACTTTCCTATAAAATGGGCTTCGTGTGAGACGATTTTGTCCAATTGCAGGCAAATGTAAGTGTTCTGAGCATGTTTATGATAGGCGAGACTAAGCTATGATATTTGGTAAGTTAGATGTCCTAACTGCTTTTTTCAATGTACGTTATTTTCAGCTTAGGGTGGGTTTATCAGGACATAACTCCATCGTAAGCCGAGGAGCATTTGTACATATTTTAATCACTGATACCCCCAGTGAACATAAAGTAATTAGAAATTGTATGTTCTTAATCAATAAATGTAAAATAAATGAATCAACGAATGTGTGAGTGAACAAATGGTTCTTTTTTAGAACATTTTTGTTCCTTAGTTATCTTACATAAACAAACGTTACTATAGAGCAGCAATTTCCATTTCTTTTCGGAGAGAGGTCGATACATCATAAAGTGGCATAGTCACAAAAATTTGTGAAAACTGGATGAAACAAAGTTAAACAAACATTTTTTTATTAAAGTAGGACTACTTAGATTCAATAACTTGCTAATGTGCCTTGTGACCCAAAGAAAAATATATAAGATGCTATGTTTCCAAATTTATTTGACACTGAAACTCTTATTTCAAGGACCATTTCTCTGCATTAATATTCTGGGTGATACATATTGGGAAATGACATTAAAAGTTGTTTCTTTGTGAACCTGGATTCAGGCCACTATTACAGAAAACACTTGTCTAAAATTAAAACTAAAAAAAGCTTCAAATAACTGAAAAATGTAAAACATTCTATCTCTGTGAGAAAATGGTAAATTATCAAGCAATAATTTGACACTGGAAATTTATTTTAAAAATACAGTTTTTTAATAATCTGTTCAGTTTTATTTTCCTCTTTCTATGATTTTTACAACTGAATATAACAGGAGAATTTGTGTTTGTGAAGATGTTCTTGACTCATTCTAAAAGACAAAATGCTGTCTAATAAAAATTAAATTTGATTTAGTATTGATTTTTATTTTATTGTAATGTTAATTATTTAACATTTCTAAGTATTAGTGCCTCTAAGGTCATTCTCCTTATTAGATCATTACTTAAGCCTTAATTATTATTTATTCCCAAGTCATTTTGAATAAATGTAAGTTTATTATTTTTTATTTGGTTATAAGAAGTTTTGAGAGGGATGATTGACTTTAGATGCAATTCAAATATAGTCTTTAGACTTGAAACTTACAAATATTTGGAGTGGACTGAATTCTAAGTAGAAAAAGTACTGGGGATATTTTATTACCTTTTTGTATAGTTGGTGTTTCACTGTCTGCAATCAGTTGCAAGCAGTCTTGAATGACTAAAAAGCAAAAATTTATCATTTTAGTTACTTGAGTAGAAATAATAAAGAAATGAACTGAGAACACAAAGCTACAAACCCATTCTTCCAGAAACACTAAATCAATTACACTTTTTACATTGATTGCATAATATTATTCTTAAAGTTACTTTATGATATTTGCCCATTGATTTATATATATATATTTATATATATCATATATCTATGAAATTCATGACATTTCAGAAAAGCTCTATGTGCTGTTAAAATATAATAGGTATATCACCTGTACAGTTTAACCTAATTTGCTTTGAAAAGTGGCTGAAGAGAAAGCAAGTTTAATCATTTGTTTAGCACATCTACCAAATACATGAAACAGTTAACCTTATAAGATCATTCTAGTCTTTTGCTTTAAAAAATCTAACATGAAATCGTGACTTATTACCACAGAAAATACTATTTCTGACACTTCTGAAAGTTAAAAAATGCTAATATTTATTGAACAGATTTAAGTGCAGACAGTGTACCAAGACTTAGTATATATCACTTCCATTTATCCTCACAGGAATCCTAAAAATTAGAGATTGGAAACTAAGGCTTGGAAAGTGTAAACAGCTTGTTCAGGAACTCAGAGACAGAAAGTGATGGGACCAGAATTTAAACCCCACCTGTTTCACTCTGGATCCAAAGGCAAGCTTTTGGTAAAATATACTGGACCAAAGAGAAAAAGAGAGATAGAACATCTTTTACAAATAAAATGCAAGACTTCCATGAGACTGCATATAATCAGTAAAGCTTCCTGAAAACATCAATTAACATCATATATTACATATTGAGTATTTCAGTCAATATTTAAGAAACTAACATTGCGTTAAATAAGGAGAAATGCCTTTAGGCAAAAGCAAATTAAGGACACCTGCTGGAAGGTGTAGGGAAGATACAATAAAGTAGTAAACATCTGTGAAAAATATGAAACATAAATCTAAGCTTGCATGTTTTAGATTAAGAAAATATTAGTTTAGTTTTTTATCTAGCAAATATTTTACTCAGAGTTAAAATAATACTTTATGAAGATGATTCTCAATGCATACAGCCTCCGGAGTAGCTGGGACTCCAGGCGCCCGCCACCACACCCGGCTAGTTTTTTGTATTTTTAGTGGAGACGGGGTTTCACCATGTTAGCCAGGATGGTCTCCATCTCCTGACTTGGTGATTCGCCCGCCTCGGCCTCCCAAAGTGCTGGGATTACAGGCGTGAGCCACCGCGCCCAGCCATGACTTCCTATGTCAAGTCATCCTTTCCCTGTTTCCCAAAAGCTTCAGTAGGAGATGGCTATGGTCTGAATGTCTGTGTTGCCCCCAGATTCCTATGTTTAAACCTAACTGCTGAGGTGATGGTATTAGGAAGTAAAGCTTTGGGTAGGTGATTATGCCTTGAGGGCAGAGCACTCATGAATGGAATTAGTATCCTTATAAAAGAGATCCCAGAGAGCCAGCTTGCCCTTTTTTCCCACATGAGAACCCAGTGAGGAGGCATCATCTACAAGCCCAGGAAGCAAGTCCTCATCAGATACCAAAATCTTCAGCCATCTTGGTCTTGGACTTCCGGCCCCCTGAACTAGAAGAAATAAATCTCTACTGTTCATAAGCCACCCAGTCTATGGTAGTTTGTTACAACAGCCTTGAATGAACTAAAGCAGATTTAGATACTCTGTGTAGTCAGAGAGAAGTTTACCTAATAAGTAATGCCTTGACACTATGAAAATGTCTCCATTTTAGTCTCCACAGCCCAGTTAAAACTTGGCCACAACCTACACGTTGAAAAACAGTGTTCTATTCTCTCATGTAGTAGCAGAAATCTAACATTTAGCAGAAAATGTGCTTTAAAGAGAAAAGTTTATTTCAAGAACTGTTCTTCAGAAGAGAAAATAAGATATAAAATTGACGTTTCAATAATGAGGTGTAAATTACAGCCACTGAAGTTGTGTAAGTATGCTCTGATGTTTGCACAATGATAAACTTGCCTAGGGTTGCAGAATGTATACAGAATGAACAATTGTCCTTGTTCCAGAGAAAGTTACTTGGCTTTTTTTCCAAGACAACTCGCTTTAGGAAATTTGATAGCTATTATCAAATTTCAACTGTTTCAGCTATTATCAACTTATCTCCTATTCAGTCTTTTAAGACTTTCTTTCTCATTCAACATAGATCTGGTCTTAGGCTGGAAATTAGCACTCAGCTAAAGATTTGTCTCACAAAGAAAGGAGCAAAAAAGGCGATATTATTTTTAATGTCTTCCAGTAGCATAGATATCTAACCACAAGAGTTTTGAAAACGCATAGTCTAACATAAGAAACACAATTTGATAACAATTGTCATATTAATTGATTATTGTTTGGTTCTCAAATGCCTTTTACACATCTCTCCCTCTACTGCAATTGAAAGGAATTACACAAGAGGTTAAGAATAGATTTTTTATGTTTGTTATTTTTTTTTTCTTTGAACCAAGCAAGGCAATAATATACATTAAAACCTTTCTGAACCTATGGAGATACATTTCTGAATATACGTTTCTGGGGATTATGATGTAATAATGTATAAAATACGTAATCTTATAAAATACCATTTTACAGCATAAGAAAATTTACTCATCATAATAAACTTCACATAAAATATTTCTAAAAACAAAATATTGTAATGACAAAAATGTTTACAAAATAAAATTGCGAAAATAAGAACTTTAAGGACAAAAATAATTTGCTATTGATCAATATTTGACACAATAAAATTCAATACTTCACAATTAGAGTGTAATTTAAATACTATCCATATGGGAAACATTTTTACAGTTTGAAAGGCCACCTTTTGAAGCATAATGTCTAAATACCATTTAATCAGAAAAAGTGATTTGAAAGTTTAGATAATTGTTACTATCTGTTATACTATTTTCTGTACTGGAATGAATCCATTAAAACTTGAAACTGGTTTATTATACATTATTTCAACAGAGCTAAATCTAATATGAACTACCATAAATAATGCAATTATTGCAGATTGTGTGTGGCTCCCATGAAAAACAGAAAAACATTACACACACAGCATTCCCATTACGTTTATCCCATCCGTACCACCTGCACCCACGGATTCTTCATAGTGCTTCTCATTCATCTCATTCAAGAAGCCTCCTCCAGCTTTCAGTCTGGATGAGATGTGCGTCCTGTGTCTTCCTTTATCTCTTTGTGGTTTTTTTTTTCCTGTCATCTTATTTATTACACCATACATCATTAAAGAAGGAGGATCTTGGATGGCAATGCCTCACTTTCATTTCTGCATAACTTATCATTTGGTAGATATAAGTTATGATGAATGTAGCAGTTTAATTTTTCTTGAACTAGCTTCGAATAATCAGTGGCAGAAAAATGTTAACTAGAGAAAACCACAATATTAAAATCTCAATATTGATCTAATATTTGACGTAGACTTATGAAGAAAATGGGGAAAGCATGATATTAAAGTAACACTTTCACTGAAATGAAAATACATGAATTTAGAGGATGAAATGAAAATACATGAATTAGTTTATAAGGTGTTATTTGACCATCGATAAGCAGTGTGCTTTGGTTGCTTACTTTAAAAAGTAATAAAATTTGAGAACTTTGAATTTTGAGAGAACTAGATTGAGAAGTATATATTGGCCTACTAGAAATCCTTGTAAGAATTCTCAGTCTTGGGAGGGGTCTGCCTGACAGACCTTGTGCTTGAGGAAAATCATGTTCGTGTGTGTGTGAAGTGAGCTCCTGTGAAGGGAGGGTGACAGCAAAGGTCTCAGTGATTGACAGGGAAAAGACATAGGGTGAGGATGGTTTGCCCTCAAATGCAGTTATGCAAATGCAGCATCTAAGATACATTGTGAAGAAAAATTGAAGTCATGACCAATAGTCATGTGTGTTTGAAGGAGAATTAAACATTTATAATAAAAATAAGTTTTTAATTTTGGAGAATTCAGAAAGATAATAGCACTATAGTGCTCCAGAGAAAGTAAGAAAGGGGTGCTGGGTATTTTTTGGAAGGGGGTGTGGGAAAGGAGTTGATAGAATAGAAATAACCACAGCTGATGGAGTAATGATAGATATTTCAAATGATAACTTTCTTTTCTTTTTTTTTTTTCCTTTTTCTTTTTTTTTTTTTTGAGACAGGGTTCTGCCCTTGTTGCCCAGGCTGGAGTGCAATGGCACAATCTTGGCTCACTGCAAACTCCGCCTCCCAGGTTGACATGATTCTCCCGTCTCAGTCTTCTGAGTAGCTGGGATTACAGGCTTGCGCCACCACACCTGGATAATTTTGTATTTTTGGTGGAGACAGAGTTTCTCTGTGTTGGTCGGGCTGGTCTTGAACTCCTGACCTCAGGTGATCCACCCGCCTCAGCCTCCTGAAGTGCTGGGGTTACAGGTGTGAGCTACCACACCCGGCCTCAAATGATAATTTTCTATAACGTGTGTGTGTGTGTGTGTGTGTGTGTGTTTGTATAGACAGAATCTTAAGCACTAATTGATCATTGTCATGTATCCACTCATATTTTAACTATGTTTTATGCTTAAAGCAATAAAGGAGATGTAAAATTGCAGGCCTTTTGCATTGCCTCATAGGCACTAAGAGTAAAAAAAAAAAAAAAAAAAAAGCATTATCATCACTTAATGTTGCTTCAGTTTACTATTTATCTAATATTTTAATTTTAAATTGATAATGTTATACTTATATCATCATCTGTGTTTCTCCACGACTTCACTGAATTATGTTAGAATATTTCAATTTATTAATAATATATTCTCAGAATGCACTGAATATCAGGATCCTGCCAGTGAAGAACAGTAGCTTCATGATATCACATGTAAACAACCTGATGTCAAGTAAGATAAAGCCAAAAATATAAACACAGATGAACACCTGTATAAAGTTACTAATGAATTGCACAATCAGCAATTAAGTCTTCACCTTCCCCTTGGACATTTCCATTTGGATGCC